GGGCCATTGTGAGCTACTGAATGCAGGTGCTGGGAACGGAGCCATTTCTCCAGCCTCCGTTCTCTCTTTTAAGCTCCTACCTATGAGTCTATAATAAACTTCTTTCTCAAACTTGCCTTCTGAGGTCTGTGAATTTCATTCTTTGTATTTGTGAGACAAGAACCTAAAAGCCAGTGGGACTTTGGTGATCCTCAAGTTTCTGGGACTCTATCCCCCTAAAAAAGGCTCCATAGTTCTCGAAGACACCCTAGCATTCCCACATCAATGTCACTTCTGGCTTTCTTTCCCGCCGTACTGCTCTAATGTAGTTCTCTTCTAAGGAGAAAATAGAATCATCTCTGTTGACTTTTTACTAAAATGAACATTTATAGTGATTTGTCCAGAGTTAAGAAAACCGATAGGCAGGCTTCCACTGTGGTGAAATAGACTCTGTTGGTACTCTGCTTGGATCTCCTTTATCCAGTTAGTGTATCATCTCCCAATAGTAGTAAGTGTTGACTTCTAATGGCTCAAAACTGCCTTGTTCCTGGAGAATGGGGAAAGACTCTGAATTTATACCTTCCCAACCCCAGCATGACTGATACATGGGTCTAGAAGAAGCTGAACTTCTTCTCTAAGGTAAGTCAAAACCTGGTGAAAGCTACATTCTGGAGCCCCATGGAAGGATGAAGCTGCACTCTACCCAAGACCCCCTTCTTCCTTCCCTTCCCTTCCCTTCCCTTCCCTTCCCTTCCCTTCCCTTCCCTTCCCTGTTCAATTAACCAAGTGTATCTGCATTCTTTCCATTCCTATAATGCTTTGCTTCTATGACACCCACCTTAGTAAGATGGGCAAGAAAGCATTGCTAACTCATGACCCTAAAGTGGTAAGGGGCGGGGCGGGGACATGAGAGCCAAGGCTTAGAGGTTGCGTTGTCTGCCGGATAGAACCTGTGGTCCAGGAGAGAAGCTGAGAAGAAATACGCTGTGTCCTCTCTCCCCCTTTCCAGGTCTGTATCACTTTAGTCAAACTTGACAGTTAAGTTGCCAGCAATGTGCTTGCAATCAATGAAGGTCAGCCTTTTAGAGCCCTTAGCACAAGGAAGGGCAATCAATAGAGAGGGGGAGAATAATTAACGACTAGCATAATGGTTTTATATAATCACATGCTTTTCTCTTCTCCAGTCCACCTGTCATAATTGGTACCAGACTACTCTTTAGTGAGTACTTATTCCATCATTTCCACTTCCCAGCTCCAAGTAATTCAAATCTTTCCCACTGCTTAAAAGAAAAATCGGAGAAACTCTAGAGTATATATTCCATTAATTCAAAAATATCTGAACATGTGCAGGCAGTTTGTTTACTCATTTATAAACTGTTTAAACTTATAATTGTTGGGCCGGTGATGGAGCTTGCTTAAGTGCTTGCCTAACATGCATGAAGTCCTAGTTCAATACCAAGTACCACATAAGCTGTAGTTGTGGGGCATGGCAGTAATCCTGGCACTTTGGAGAGAGAAACAGGGGAATCAGGAGTTCAAGGTGGTTCTCAATCAAATAGGGTGTTCAAGGACAGCCTGGACTACATGAGAGCCTGTCTAAAATCAAATAATAAATGAGTAAGTTAGTTTACTATTGTTATCTAATATTTCAGTATGTAGTTTACCCTTAATGTGAGATATGTCATTAATAGTTGTATACGATACTCATATTTGAAGAAGTTCTGATAATTTTCAATTGTTTTGGGCAACTTTGTACACATATAATAATCTTGCTACCATTTTAAAGCAGATGAGGTGGCCGGCTCATACTGGGAGCAGACTTCTTGTCTCTTTGACATGGTGGTTTCTTGTCTGCCTGACTGTATTACATTCAATCAGCGATGTCTTAGCAGTAATCTATTTGTGGAGGTAGGATAGCTAAAACTACATGTCATCATCTGATGCCCACTTAACAAGATACATGTGAAAAAAGTGTTGTAAGCTGAAAACAGGTAACTGAGGGCAAATGAGACTGTGGAGCCATCTGTACTGTGGGATTCCAGCAGTTTCCATCAGATCACTTGTGAATCACACACGTCACATGACCATTTGACATATGGACCCAGATGTGGCTTCTGTGAAATATGTGATTCCCAGGAGCCAAGCACAGCTTTGGAAAGAACACTGATAAAAGAATAAATGACAGGTCCTTGGAAGTAAAAAACTCAGCCTCACAGTGTCAGGAGAACAGGCACCATTGTTTTAGTATCTGCTTTGTGAACCTGTGAGAAATAGTAGCTCATGCATATGGCTCCTCAGGTAAACTGATGATTTGAGAAGTGGCCATGTGGTATAAGAGGGAGGTCCAACCAGATGTTATAGACATCAAAGGCAGAAGGTCTTTAAAGGAATGGGCGGAACTCTTAAAGTAGTAGTGAGAAATCTAAGATATTTCTTGCTGATTGTAGGAGATAAATGATTTTTCTCCTGAGAAAATCCAGTTCAGATGAATAATAGCAACCACTTTACAAGCATTTGCTATGGACCCAATAGTGTACAAAGTGCTTACAGACATTATTTTATATACTCTTTACAGAAACTCTTCATGCTGGGTGTTACCATCCTGCGGGTTAGAAGTCTTTTTTAGTGTTCATGTGAAGAGAGGAGCTAGGGTTTAAGGATTCAAACCTACAACTACTTTTCTGTTTGATAAAGCATTTTGCATTATACCTCACAATTAAGACTGGCATTAGGGAAGATACCCTACTCTCTGGAGAATGTTTGTTTCCTCTTTATGGAGGCTGTGCATCTGGAAGGAGATTGGTGTGGTCGTGTACCTGTAAAGGGATAGTTAGACCAGATAAGGCTGGATCCTAGAGACAGAGAGCCATCAGAATGGCAGGAGAGCACTGTGGATTCAAGGAACCCATCAGTGCATTGGGGAGTCAGAGTTCAGGAAAATACTGTTGGAAAGATAAACAGTTCTTCTTAAAAAGATGCCAAACAGAGTCCCAAACATGCTTCCCAACGTGCCATTCACAAGCCCTCTCCATCCGAGCCGATTCTTTCTTCCCCTCCCTTTGCTTTGTAATGGATTTCGTTGCAGCCGTGCTTTGTCTCTCGTGTTGCCCACAACTTTTAAAAATACAGGGACAATAATTTATTAAGCGGTGGATTTACAATCTGCTTGCTTTCTATATTAGAGTAACATTTGTTTCAAAATAGGAAATATGACTGTGTGGAGGTTGATGTAAATTAAGGATGTTTGTTGAATCCATTGTTCCTTGGTAGGTTTGAGTGTTTGTGTAGTTGAAGGTTTTACATGTTGTAAATAGAACTGGGCTGGGAGGTAGGGTGCTGGCTTGCAGTTCCAGCTCTGCCATTAGAATAATTATGTGACACGGGCAAGCAGCCAATCTGCTCTGAGCTTGAATTTTCTAATACGTACAAACAAATGTCCCCAAGTCCCTATTAGCATTCAGTTTGGTAGAAGACAGAGCTGCCTTCATCCTCAGACTAATTCCAACACTTTTAAAACAGAATTGCAATTTCCCTCAATCGCAAATTCACCTTACCTGACTTTTTAGAGCTGGGCTTGGCAAATATTTTCTGACTACACAGTAAATATTTCAGGCCCTCTTGGCCCTGCAGGCTCTGTTTCAACTGCTCAGTTCAGCCACTGAAGTAAGAGCAACCGCAGATAGTAAGTAAATGAATGTACATGCCTGTGCATCAGAAAAACCGTCCTGGCGTGTCTCTCTATGTATGTGTGTCTCTGTACATGTGTCTGTGTGAGAACCTGAGGCACAGCCATCATCCCTTGAAGAAGGTGGCATGGTGTGCTTATTTGAACTGATAAGAAATAAGGACAAACTAAATACTGTGGAGGAAAGGAAGGAGATAGGGAAGAACTGTCTTCATTTCACAGAAGAGATTTCGCTGTGAGGCACCAATTCCAAGTAAGGTTCAGGAAGCCATTGCTGTTTTTCCTACTGAATCTACAAGGACATAGCATTCTATGAGAGTTTCATTCTTGAGAGACTCTTCCAGAGTCTTCATAAGCCTGTCCTCTTCAGAGGAGGTGGAGAGCATCAGTGGCCCTGACTGAACAATGCGAAGCTTTACTGTAAAAGGTGTTTGGTCAGGCTGGTGGACACCTGCTGTTTCCCTGAGTTCAGAATGAGAGGCTTCCCACTCATTGATCCTCCTTCTGATTCTGAGTCCTGATGTGACAGGTGGGACTAGAAGGAAAGGGGGCATTTGAGGAAGGAAATAATTTGCTGCAGCTGCCTTGGGGCTGGCTTGCTGAGGGCATCTTGGAAAGTGAGCCAGAGTTTAGGGGTGGGAAACTTGGATGACTTTCACAGATAGGTCAATAAATTCTTTGTTCCAATACACGGGAGGAGAGTTGGATTTTTAGGGAGTTCAAAAAATTTGAGGGGCCAGCAAGATGCCTCAGCAGGTAAAGGTACTTGCTGTGCATGCCTGGTCGGTTCCAAGACTTTCCTGGAAGTATAGAACCAACTCCATAAAATCGTCCTCTGACCTCACATACTCCATGCTACACATTTCCAGAGTCCCACATGCACACACCATATATCACACAAAAATTATAAAAGATGAATTGGGATGTGATTAAATTGATTAGCTCACAATATTTAAAAATTCGTATGTAGTGTGCTTAATATAGAACTGGATGTTTTTTAGTCTATTACACTAATTCATTAATTTTATTTCACAGACTAAAAATTTTACTATGCAAATCATACAGGAAAACAGTGTTCTTAGCCAAGTGTACCAGCATCTGTTTTGGAGGGTTTTTTGCGGGGAGGGGGTTGTTTATTTGTTACTTGTTTCACAGAAACAGTGCCAGTCTGTTAGAAAGTGAGATAATAAATACTTTCAAACATTCAAAACCGTGTATTGAACAATTTCCTGAATAGCGATTGGGAGGGAGGCTTCCTCCTTTAACGAATATCGCAGTGACAGGCACGTCTTTTTCTTTTTCCTTTTTTTTCATTTCTTTTTATTTCCTAACACAGAATGAAGAAGATGAGCAACATTTATGAGTCAGCTGCCAACACGCTGGGAATCTTTAACAGCCCCTGCCTGACCAAAGTCGAGCTGCGTGTGGCATGCAAAAGCATTTCTGACAGAGACGCTCTTTCCAAGCCAGACCCCTGTGTCATCCTCAAGATGCAGTCCCACGGGCAGTGGTTCGAGGTAGGCTTGTCCAAGGAGACAGACGGAAACCTGGCTGGATGACCGGTTCAGTTTTCTTTTTTGACATTTTCTGTCTTGAGCTAGTTTATTTTGAAAAGATAGAAAGTTCTAAAAAATAAATGGAATTGTGTTTCTGTTTATCTCATCATGATGTTCTGATATGGCTGTTTTAATACTGTGATGTCTTGACAATTCATGAGTCTGAAATTTTCTGGGTGTTTTTGTTAGTTACTAAAAAATAATTGTAAGATACTCTGTCTCACATCCAGTTGTTGACAAAGGTACCAGGTCAGAAAGACCTTGACCCAGAACCCAGGCTGGGTTGGGATGCTGTAAAAAGTTCCAGAACCAAGGCAGAATTCAGATTAGACTTATGAATAATTAGACTTCTGGGAATGGTAGTTCTGAGGAGGGAAGTGACTATTGGAATTAGTACAGTGTATGAGAGTTTTTGTACATTGAGAGAGGGGATTAGGAAGACTGGGATGAGCAAGCAGGTCCCGTGAAATCCCTGGGCTGTGGCCTGTAGTTGGGGGCTGAGCTGGGGTCTGGCAAGATTGGTTAGAATGAGGGCTTTTATCTAAGATTGGAGCCGTCCACTGAAGGAACATTGAGCCTGATGGTGGGAGAAGAGCCCACCCAGGAGCTGATCGCAGGTCTGTGGGGAAAGCACAAGTTCTGAGGAGTGCTGTGGACCTCAGAATCAGAGGTCTGAGAGAGCCATGTGGGAATACGCCCATAGTGTGTTCAGGAACCACCACTCCTTTCAAGTGTCATGGGGTTGATGGGGATGTATTGAATGTGTAACCTCAGTCTGGGTTGGTTGGGAACTGGAGAAAAATGAACCTGCTTATGAAAAATCACGAGTAGATTTAGCAGTGAAGAGATGAGCTGGTGTGGCAGACAGAAGTAGAGGAGATAAGAGCTGAGGGCCTAGATGCTCATAGTGCATTAAGTGGCTTTAGAAGGTGGTGACATGCTGAAAAACTCATGTGTGGACTAGCCACTCAGAATGTGTCTTAACACACACTCCTTGCTGAGCTAGGACATCACAGATCATGGGTGTGAATGGAATGGTGCTGTGACTCACTCTTCATAGAGCAGTGGTCCCCAGCTTGTTAAGAGATGACTTGGTATTTTATCGTTTATTTGGGGAAGGATTTGCTCTTTTTTTCCACTTAGACTCCAGCCTACAGCAACCCAATGAAGAGAAGCTGGAGGGAAAAGTGTGGGATTCTTTGCTTCTCCTAGCTGGCTTGGTCAGAAGCTTTGCTGACAAACGCTCATGTAGACATGACAACACCTGGGGAAGGCCAGAGATGACTGCCTTGAAGGGGACACATCATGCGATACTTATGGTTTGTAGTTTGTTTGTTGAGACAGGGGCTCCTTGTAGCCCATCTGGCTTGGAACTCACTATGTAAACCAGGCTAACCTCAATCTCACAGAATTACACCTGCCTCTGCCTCCCAAGTACTGAGATTAAAGGTGTTCCCTGCTGATATTTATGCTTTTGAGTGAAACTTGAACAAGGTTAGTTAGGTTTTATTGGACACGTATTAAGTGCTGTGTATAAAGTAACTAATGTAGCCTTCACAATAACTCTCTAATTCTTATGTGAGGAAGCTGAGATACAAAATGGTTAAGGATTTGCTCAATACTATTCTGCTTGTAAGTAGAAAATCCAATATTTAAACCCAGGCATTTCCAGAACCTGAGTTTTTGTGTGTGTGGTTTTTGTTTTTTGCTATTTTATACATACAGCGGGAACTGGCGCAGTATTGGTTGTCTGTGTGGAAATACTGAAGGTTGAGTGTTGCAGCTGGCTCTTTTGTTACTGATGTTGCTTATTAATGCATCAAAAACTGTATGTTGCATTTAGGAGCTGTTCTAAGTAAATATTACTTTTTTCTTCTTCACATTTAGAGAAAGCTAGCAGGCAGGAGCAGTGCACAGTAACTAGATTTATTTAAGGGCAGATTTCTCTGTGTCTACCTCCTAGAGAAGGTCGAGGTAGCTAGAGAGATTTCTCTCTTATAGGATCACAGAAATGAGAGAAAGGCCTCTTCTATTCAAGTGTTCCAGCTAGCTGTCTTAGTTCCTTAGTATCTTCCTTATGGGTCTCTGAAGGGTGAACTTATTTGCATAATGGGGAAGCTGTTGAATATCAGGGTTAGAATCAGGAAAGTAGGGTGAACTCACCTTTCAATGAGAACTTTAAAGTTTGGCAAAAGGAAGGTTCTATCAAGGGTACTCAGCCTTCTGACATTGCTGCATGATGTTGTGGTCTACCAATGTGTTGGGTCACATTCATAGCTATCTAGTGGCATGTAGTTCACAGGCTAATGTGCCTGCCTGCTAGCAGAATTCGCTGCGAGGATGGAAATGTTGTAAATCTGCTCTGTCCAATGTGTGGTAGTTGAGCACTTGGACAGAGGCTAGTGTAACTAAGAGCTAACTTCTGAATTACTTAATTTTAATTGATTTGTTTAAATCCGTTTGTAAACTTAAATAGCCTGTAGCCCCAGCTGACCTGGATCCAGTGTGATCCAAGGGCATTCTTGGTGGGGAGGAGAAGCAGCTTAAATTTGGATATGAGAAATGAAATTAAAATTGAGCATTTCTTTTTCATGACTGCTGAACTCTGTGTGTGTGTATGTTTTAAATGGAATTCCAACAGAGAACAGGCTCTGTCATGCCAGGACAAACAACTCAGGTTACTGCTATAATCATTACAACTACCTTCAGTTGGGCTTGCCAGACAAAGGGCACACATTTACTCTTTCGATTGGCCTGTTAGCAAGGAAAGAGAACATTGGACCTCTATAGTGGATCATAAAAGTGTATGCCTGGGGCTGGAGAGATGACTCAGAGGTTAAGAGCAGTGATTGTTCTTGCAGAAGACCCAGGTTCAATTCCCAGAACCCACATGGTGGCTAGGAACCATTTGTAATTCCAGTTCTAGGGGATCCAACCCCCTCTTCTGACCTCCGTGGGCATTGCATGACACAGGTGCACTTACACACATGCAGACAATACACTCATGAACAAAAAAATAAAAATAATAAAATATGTTTTTAAAAATTATATGCCTGATGTTTAGACTCAGATCTACCATCTGACCTGTACTGTTCATAGTATTAAGGGTCAATGACAGTGTGTTACCCTGACTTTGAAATACTGAAGGTCAATTGTTCTGAAATGTAAAATACATTGTTGATTTTTACACATCATCAGGGTTTAACATATATGTCTAAGGATGCAGAATTCAGAAGCAATGCTGTTTTTCTTCCAGAAATGTTTTCTCAGGTGAAAACTTTAATAAATCTTTCATAGTGGCCATATATTTTACTGACAGAAAGGAGAGAGGAAAAAAGTTACAACTTGGAAATCATTCCAAACAGAGTTTCAGACCATGCATAGTTTCCTTAATTTTGAGGCATACCCATTATTAGAATTTCTCCGGTACCTTCTGTTGGCCATACACCAGATGACAGTGTATGGTTAAGTGTAATATGACTTTGCTGCTTTTACACTGCCAAAGAACTGTGGAAATAACTTCTTCCTGTCTTCTGGTGACCGGTGATGTATTCATTGACTCCTGGAACTAAACGTTGTAACCAAGTGTGATAAGGAAAGCTTCTCAGAGAACTGAAAGGCAAAGACACTGTGACCTAAGGCTCTCCTTTTCATTCATACACATGCCTTCCTAGGCAGGGATGGACATTCTCCACGGAGCACAGCTAAGCTCATAATTATGTGACCCCTGGCCCAGATCCTAAGAATAGCAGAGAACTCAACATCATGGAGAAGCCCAAGTTGCACTGTAGACTTGGAAGATGTTGCTCCAATCACTGTTAATCCCGTTTTAATACATAATTACTGAGTTCTTTCATAGGATGCTTTGAGCAATTCTGAGGACTAATCACCCTTGGATCAATTCCATGTGAAAACATGTTTCACTGAATCATGGGCTTTGATAAATTGCTGGCAATAATTGTTAACAGTAATTAGCATGATTATATTTAGCACACCATTAGTGAACTCTAAGGTTACTATTTATGATGGTAATATATCCATATAGCCCTTTATATTCACAAGCTCCATTTACATATTTCATTTGCTTCCCATAACAACCTTGTGAAAAGGTATCAGATGTTGAAATCAACCATAATGCTTTCCTTGTGGTGCTCAATACACACTGTGGATATGTCCGTGTTGAGCAGTACTCACTCTGTCTTAAAGACAGAGGTTGGAAGCTTAGACGGACTTTAGAAAGAGAGCTTGAATTAGCTCTTGATTTAAATCTTATCTCTGAATGTGTGCTGGGCATATGAGCTTAAGGAGTCTAACCTACGTTATTATGGAATGACGTTGCAACATCAACCAGTCTTCTATTACTCAGCAGAAGCAGAGATGGAGAGACAGCTCCACACTGGTCCCTCAGCAGCCCGAGTTCTTTTCAGAGGCCTCTACTTAGGCAGACCCAGGATTCTTGGCTTCAATTAAGAAAATAATTTCAGGACAAACCACTGTAAAGCACAGTTGGAACTTTTTAAAAGGAATAAGCATAAGGGTTAAGAGGGAAGAGGTGGTTAGAAACAAAGTAGGCATACCCAAGAGCTTGTGTGTGTTTCTAGAAGAAGAGCTTCACTTCATTGTCTTTACAGTTACCTGCATATACCATTTGGGTGGGTTTTGAAGCTATTGTTTTCAAAGGGTCACTGAGGAACTAAATGAGATCAAAGGGGCACCTGACAGGGTTATGATTGATATGGTAAAACTCTAGATCATAGGGCTGCAGAGAAGTTTGGATATTCTCACTGTGAGCAAAGTAAACAGTCTTGATTGAGAGAGTCCAAGATGTCTGGGAGAGGGATGAGTTCATATACTATTCAGGCCCTAAGCCTGGGTCATTGCTATTTCAACATAAAATATCTATATATGAAAAGGATGTCGTCCGTACTGGCAGCCTTCACAGAAAATGTTAATGGTGCTGG